TTATATAAATTAATACTAATATATCTCTCTAATATATCTTATCTCCCAAAACACTAATAATACTAATTTATTACTACTTAATTTTTTATTTAATAGAAATATAAATCATTAATTAAAGTATCTTTTTTTTCTTTTTATTTTTCCAAATGCAATCTGTGGAACAGTTTGCAGAACAAATGAGAGCTTTGACTCAGCAGTGCATCCAAAGCTTCGATCAATTTATGGATGTAAGATTATTATAACCATAATTAGGAATCTTATTTGAATAGATTTAAAATTTCGACTTGCTGTATCTATTGAATGTAATCATTAAGATGCCTAAAATTTGAAAAACTTCATAAATATATATCTTAAGCAGTTTCATAAATATTATATTTATCGTAATAATTTGTCTTTCAATTAGAATCTAATAATCACATCAATAATTTTTAATTTTATTAATAATGAAAAAAATATTGAATACTATTGACAAAATCGATATATTTCGTGTTCCTGTCAATCTGTTGACTAATTCTAAGGATTTATTCTATCAAAGTAAGCTTGGTGGAATAGTTACTCTTATTGTTGGAAGTCTTGGTTTCGCCTATTTTTTAAATGTAATAATTTTATGGATCCAAAATCATCTACCTCCCAATGTGAGTTTTAAATAATAAACATTATCGTATGCAGAATTTGAAATAAAAAACTCTGTTATTCAATTAGAATTATAATATTTTTCAGGTGAGATCCTTTCAGAAGAGAAAACAATATCATAACTCCTTATTTATATAAAAATATAGATAGAACAATTATTGATAAGCCAATTCCAANTAGATGGTATCATTCCTGTTATTTTCACCATATTAAGCAAATTTAAACATTATAATCATTGATTTCTTCCTCAATGATACTTTTTTAAACAATACCCTTGTTATATGCAGCTTTAAAATAAATTAGATATAATTAAAATCAGTATATATGGTTTGGATTTATAACTAAAGGAGAAAAAGGATCTCTTTATTACTCACTCATAGAAAAAGCCAACATAATAAAAGACTCTTAAAAGTAATTGTAAAAAGTTTCTCCTCATCTTACTATTTCATCTAATAATAGTTTGTTTCGAATAAGTTTTGAAAGAACAATTAACTACCAAATGATTTGACTGGTAGATTATATAATATAACAACTATCTGATGCAAAGATCTTATTCATCAACTATTATAGGTAATCCTTTTCAATCAATTTAGAATCTAATAATCACATCAATAATTTTTAATTTTATTAATAATGAAAAAAATATTGAATACTATTGACAAAATCGATATATTTGGGGTTCCTATCAATCTGTTGACTAATTCTAAGGATTTATTCTATCAAAGTAAGCTTGGTGGAATAGTTACTCTTATTGTTGGAAGTCTTGGTTTTGCCTATTTTTTATATGTAATAATTTTGTGGATCGAAAATCATCTACCTCCAAATGTGAGTTTTAAATAATAAACATTATCGTATGCAGAATTTGAAATAACAAACTCTGTTATTCAATTAGAATTATAAGATTTTTCAGGTGAGGTAGATCCTTTCAGAAGAGAAAACAATATCATAACTCCTTATTTATATAAAATTATAGATAGAACAATTATTGATAAACCAATTCCATTATTTAGTAGTGAAGATAAACCATTTATTATATCAATAGATAATGGAACTATAGTTTTAAATCATGATTATTCTGGGCAAAATGGTAGATTCCTTATGACATAGTATTTGTTAGTATTCTAAAGTTGTTCTGATAGTTTACTTGAAAATGGAAGTTATTGTGCTAATGAGAGTGTAATTAATGAATACTTATCAAAATTTCATGGATTTTTATTCTTAAGCATAAAATTACATTAACTAAACTATTTTACAAGACAATTGGAAGAATTTAAAAAATAATATTACACAGCCTTCTAACTAACTAGACCTTTGTATTCTTAAGTTATGCTTAAATAATAAGAAACTATTATTGATGATGGAATCTTATTTAATAATTATTAAAATTATTACTTCTTAAACAATTACGAATTAATAAATTAAGAGGTTGAAAACTCTTTTACTTCTAATGTGGTTAGCTAAATGTCATAGCAGGCTTATAAATTTAATAATTTTGGTTGTTATTTATTTAGAATAGATGATATTTCTATTTCAGAAAATGTCACAATGCCAAAACTTGGTTAAGTGTTAGCTTAGGTTGGTTCAATTGTACAAATAATATTTATGTTAAAATATATTGCATTATATTACAATAAAGTGCTATTAGAAAACGAATTACTCCATGAAATAATTACTATGTATTATCCAGAAATGAAAAATATAAAGTTGAACTTTTTGAACTAATTTGAATTTAAAGATAATTCAATTAATAGTATTAAGAACCTTAATTAAGATTTTAAATATAAATATAAAATCTTTTTAAAAAGAGCAAAAGTAAAATGTAGATTAAATAACATCTTGTATGAGATTTCAAGGATATAATTTATTCTTTAACAATAATTTGGTGACTAACTTTTGCAACAAAGTCATTAAATGGGAAGTAGACTTTCAAATAATTATATTGATTATGAACATTGTAAGGATTCTAATAGATTAACTGTAAAGCCAGCTAATTCTTTAGATATTGATAATGACTTTGCTTTATTAGAGCCATTAGAAATATTATAAAAATAACCCTGAATTTATTTTCATATCTAATTTTAATTTAATTATTGATATCAGTATAATTATACATAAATCAAATAATAAATCATCAATTTTCTCTACTTCAAAATTTTATATGTTTATAACTATTGAAAAACAAATCTATAAATTAAAGTAATTTAAAAATTTTGAATCTAATTCTTTCTATAAGATTTATATAATTTGAATGAATATATTATAATGAATCCTTTCACAAGAAATATTTATTGTAACGAAACAATTTTTATTTGAAATTCAAGGATTAGTTGGTTTCATTTTGTAATAATTCAAGCTGTGAAAGAATTATTATTTAATCAATACATTTAAGGATTGGACGGGAAGATGTTTTCTTAAAGCATTTTTGGCAAATTTGATAAGTTGTAATAAATTTGAAAAATTTTTTTCAATAATCTATTAGAACAAACATATAAGCTAAAATAAGAATATTTTGAAATTGTTTTTACAGAATTGTTGTTTCCAAACATATTTAATTAAAATAAATATTTTTCAAGAAAATTATCAGTCTATTGCAATTCGAATCTAAATATCTATTTGATTCATCTTTAATTATAAATATAAATTTGTGGATTTTCTCAAACATTATATTAAATTAAATTCTTAATCAGTATATATAATTGAAAACCTATACAAGGACATATACCCAACTATAATTTATGAATAATTTGGATCAATTAATTGAAGAATTAAAAATTTTAATAAATATAAAATTATTCAAACATGTCTTTCAAGAATCTAAAAATTTAAATGAGAAAAGATTTTGTAAAAAGTCCCTCACTATCAATGATAATTTGAATTAATTTTCGGTGATTATTATTACCAATATTTCATTATCTCTTTTTATTTCTTCATCTATTCTATTTATTCTGAATTAAAGTTTTATTGCATGATTAAAAGTATTGTGACATTAATATCCGAATATTACAGATTATTGATCAAAACCTTATTCATAATCAAAATTATTCAATTGAATATTCAAATTCTAATTTTAAGAGCAGCTTAAATCAACTTCAAGATTAAAAAATGTTTAATTCTTTAACGCAGATTCTGCGTATTAACCATTCGTATCATATACTTATTGATCTGGAAATTCAGAGCATATTACTTCAATTTTTTTGGTTAACAAAATTTATGAAGAAAAAGATTAATTGATAACTAAATCAGAATAATAAAATTTTGGTGGTTCGGCTAAATTATCATTTTCTATATTTGAATAACAGTTATTCTTATGATATAAAAATCCTTCTTTACATTTATAGCATTTACCCAAATAACAAAAATTGTTTAAACACGAAATAGGGCAATGTTATAAGCATTGATGACATCCATCATTAAAATCAAGATCTTCATCATCACATTGTTCAGATGCAACTGTTATCTAATCTCCACAAATGGAATGGCATTTATTGTCAATTTTATCGAATCCAATTTTACATTACAAACATCCATGTCCTTCGATATAGAAAAATAATTAAGTTTTAAGTTTATTGCAACTTAAACAATTGGAATCACATCTAGGATCATGATATTAACTTTAATGCATTAATTCTTAACAAATTGTAAGCCTTCATAACAATCTAAGCAAACTCCAAAATCACAAACAGAACAACCAATAGTGCAAGTTTTTAAACATTGATGACATCCATCATCAAATATTAAATTGCCATCATCACATTATTCATCAGCAGTAACAAAACCATCTTCACAAATAGTTTTACACATGTTATCTATATTTTGACAACCTTATTAACAATCTAAACAACCTTTGCCTAAAGTATCACAATTTAAGCATGAATTTTAACATTTTGATTTACAATTCAAGCAGCCTCTATATGGTAAAGCAATATCACATATCTCATCTTTTGCTAAAATAACATCTCCATATTTAGAATAACATGAATACTAATCATTCAGATAGTATCCTATTCCACAAGCATAACATCTGGTATTTCTATAGTCGGTACAAATTTCTGGATCTTTTATAAATAAAATGTAGAACTCAATAATTTTTAATCTCAAATATAAAATATTTATATTAAGTTCTATGGTGAAAAATTTAATTGTGGAATCTTTTTAATTGATTATATACTTTTAGAAAAATATTTTAACAATAAAAACCAAAAATTTTATTCATAAAGAGACCTTATGTTTTGCTCATTTATATTATTATTTATAATTTTGATAGAAATAACACCTTTAGTAAAATCTAGAAAAATATTTTGTATTTATAGAATAAAAATATAAAATTTTCTTATCGGAAATTAAAAAATAAGAAATCAATTCGATTTTACTAAATTAAAATTGTTTCCTTAAACAAAATAGGTTGATTTAAAATATCGCTAAATCACAACTTGTTATAATTCTTGTATTATTAATTTTAAAAAATTCTCTACTCTCTCTCCCTTTCTATTCAAATACAAACATAAAATTAAAATAGCAGTTGAATAAAGAAATAATCACAAATATTTAAATCTTCTATTTTAAAGTTTGTTAAATTTATATTCCAAAATGGCTCAATTTAGATATATTTCTCTCCATTTTCATTGAAGAAAAGTATTAAGAAATTACTACTATTTTTATCAATTCTTGTTTAGTGTTATCTAGCTTCCTTATATTAAAATGTTCCAAATTTTTTTTTTTTTCAATAAAGCCATTAGAATATTAACAGCAATCTTAAGTGTTAGAGAAATTAAAGTATTTATATTAATACTCCATTAAATGAAATTATAAAAATTATAGAATTTTTTAAGGGTAAAAATTATTTAAAAAAAAAAAAATTTAATTTATGAAAGATTAATTTATCTATGTTTGCAATCATTAAGACTTTTAATAATTGATTCAACAAGCGATAAATTGTTCTAAAAGAAAAAGGTTTTAACTCCTTTTTCGGCTATGATAACAATTGGTTATAGACTACCATAAAAGAATATTTAGGCTGTATTTATTGATCATTAATAATTAATTGTTTGTTAAAATATTCTTTATTAATATGCTTGATTGATTTCATTAGAATGAATATCTATATATATTGCCTTTGGTTGATTATCAATATAAACTATTTTTTTATCCAACTAACAAGGTAATTATTGTTTAACCCTATTTTAAACAATTTATTAAATGCCTTTCCTGTCATAAATTGGTTTAGTCCTCTATTATCTATGAAAAATTTGATTATCTATGCTATTCTACTATCATCTATATAAATAAAGATTACTAAGCTATTTTCTTTATTTCTTGTGATTAGAATTTCAATTTTATTTTGGTTACTAAATCTCCCTGATTACTTAAATTATAGTTCCTATTCTAGCCTCTGAGTCTTTCTTTATTTGCAATTAAATTAATAATAAAGATTTAATCTAACGTTTTGCTCAAAATTGGAAATCGAAACTATTCATAACTATACTTTACTTTAATAAGATATTTCTTAAAATAATATTATTAACCTAATTTACCAAATAGTAATGGGACTCCTTTCAATATGATTAAGTAAACTTAATCTATTTAATCATTTAATTGCCACTACATTTATATTCCATTCCATATCAATTAAAATATGATGAAAATTATTTACCAATATTTTATGATTTGAACTTTCTCATTTAATTGAGATCTAAGTAACTAATTTTTAATTTGATTTTTTTTATCAAAATAAAATTAACTAATTTTTCACTTATATATTTAATATAATAATTATCTCATTCTTGTTTAAATCTTCTTATTTATATTTCATTTGATTTTTAATCCCAAGTAATCAAATATTCTCC